TATTGTATATAAAATTCCTTCTCGTATACACATCGGAAACAACTTCCGACACGTAGCATTCTCTTTTCCATCACGTACTCTTGTCTTTAGATAGACACGAGGTTATCATAGCTCACACTAATATCGTTGATGACGAAGTTATGAAAGCTAAATTGTTTTACGTGTAGAAAAGTACTTAGGTATTCAGAATTCGTAATTATATGAAATTGTTACTCATAAATTTTTACTTCTTATTTTATATATTAGATGTTTTTATGTTTAGAAAATGCTTCTTTAATTTTCAAAGAAATTCTAAATTGAGTAATTGATATCGATATTATTGATCAAATTTATGATATTTAAGTCATGTAGTAGAAACCTCGAAACATTTTGCGTCTCGCGGTGCGAATAAGTAAAGATAGGACAGGAATGATACATAGTGCGCGTAATGATTCAAAGTGCGCAATATAGTGTCTGGCATTTAACCAGAAACTATCGCGTGCACGCGCGAGTATAAAAGCCCTGGGGCTCGTGAGACCCCTATAACAGGTCACTGCCATCGAGAGAAGCGAGCAGGTTCGAAGCGTTGAATCCCTTTACAGAAGAAGGAGAGCCTGTTTATCCGTGCCGCATTTCACACGCACATATACTTGACACACACCATACAAATTGTACATTAGAATCAAATAATCTCGTAGAGCAGTAGCACTTTCGTCGCGCAAAATCATTCAGAAAAGGTACAAAGGCCAAATAATTTTCATATTAATTCATTCAATAGGATCTAACAGGAAATTGTTTCTCTTTTGTATTCAAAAGATGCGAAAACGGCTCTGAGAACTGTCTCTGAGAATTTAAACATGAAAAATGTGGTAACGCAACGGTAATCAAATTTCTGAATTACATTAAGCGGCGTGTGAATTACGCTACAAGAGAACGACAAGGTCGGTACCGTTTTTAATAACGGTCACCCGGTATAACGATCTGCTAGAGGATGGAACAATGTTCCGCGCCATTACGGATCTCATCAGGCAGCGGAAAAAACAGAGACAGTGACAATTTCATGCATCTTATAATCTCGACTTTACCTCTGCAAAATTATAGTTCAGGTTCAGAGATTATGGTTTACGAAACAATTATCGCAATTAGAGCATTCTCGCGGAGCGATGTCACACGTTTTCTATTAGATTAAAGAATAATGAATGAAAGAGGATGCGAGTGAAAATGAGAGACATGAATAAATCGCGAAATATGTTCGATGTTATAATGTCTTGAGCGAAAAGACTTTCTCGAAATTATAATACACTTAACCGCTTGTTGTACTTTTCTCCGTAAACCGCGATATGTATCGATTTCTGTGCGAAATCATTTTGCATTGCATTTGAGCAATTTCTCCTCTTAATGCGAAAGTTGATACGCGGATATCTCTAGCTGTTACTTTGTTATTTGCATTTAATATATACAATTTTATATATGCACAATGTGTATCTCGCACTATCAAAGAGAAAAATATTATGTTTTTGTCAGTAAAGCAAACTTTTTTCCATTATTTAAAAAAATTTTGAAAATATCAAAATAATATGTATGTTACTTCTATCTACTTTGCAATTGCGAAATCAATTTATTACTTTAATCGCTTTAATAAGTTCAATCGAGTCAAATATTCATAAATTTTTTTATTACGATAATACATATTACATAACACATTTATTATAAATGTATTTATAAGCTGCTAATTTATCTTTGCCATAAATGTTAAGGTGATACTGAATACATCCGACAAGAATTATTTTATTGGATAGATAACATTTAATTCTTTGGAATGTTTAACATTTAGTAAATTTTCTAATAATTTTTAATCATAGATTCTTAGTGCGCAGATGTATTTTTTTCGCATACATTTTACATCATTGCTGCTAAATATGGAACGATATATTTGGGATGTAGGGTTTGAAATATAACATAAGATAACATCTTCTTGGAAATTGAAAAGATCAATGCTAATGCGCCATGCTTGTGTTTGATTTTTTTCACTTCTATATCTCGCATGCATGTGAATGCCACATAGGATTCATTTTATTACAATTGAATATCTTCCTTACATAAGATCCCGATGTTGCTACCAGGATATTGCGGAATGAATTAACGAAGATTCATGGTGTGTTATACACGCGCTATTTTCTAGAATTCCCATCATAACTAGAAATGGAGGTATATTATCTTAACTCAGGATAGACATTTATCATGTTATATAATACTATATATTAATAAGAGAAATGTTCAATTAATTTTTTTTATATAAAGCAGAATCTATATTTTTATAATTCTTAATGCACACCTTATTTAATAAGAAGATGTCTTTATGTTAAAGATTGACTTACTGATAACTTTCTATTAGTAAAGAAGACAAATTTTTATGTAATAATCAGTTTTTGATCAATATTTTACATATTTCCATTATATAAATAAAATTGTGTAATAATATATCCAAAAATGTAAAATAATTATTCGCTAAATAAATTTGTTTTTTTTAGATTTATGTAACTAGTTTTTAATTTCTCTCGTATGTTCGATGATTTCCATAGATCAAAGGAAGAAATAAATAATACCACAAATTATTGTTACAATTATTATTGATACAGTTATTATCAGTATTATTGTATTATTACTATTATTATTATATTGTTAGTGTGGCATAACAATATATATACGTAATACGGGGTCGTATTAGAATTCGTTCTTTTGATCAGAACGATCTTATCAATAAAATCCTGCGTTCATACTCGATAACAACGATATGAAACATCATGGAATTGGATTCATTGAAAATGTAATACATATACAAGCTTCTTTTACTTTCATTACATACATATACAAACTTCAATCGGCATTGACTGTTCAGTGGTACGATACGTGAGCAAATCACTAAAGTCACAATCTGCAATTAATTTTAACTCTTAAACATCTTTCGGAATATATGGCATATTTTTTTCCAAATGGCAAATGCTTTTTTCATTGCTTATACTTTTTTCATTAATAAAGATACATACATATTTGCTTTGTACCGTTATGCTTCTTAATGTCTGACATTTTAATTAAAAAGAAAACTGTTTATAATATGTTCATTATTATGAAAGTTATAAGCAATTGAATTGGATTAGATATGCTATATCAAATCAAGTATGTAACGTCTTGTAGCGTGTGACGTTCAAAGATTGAAACATACATTCAAATTATTTCACTTTTTATTTGTAACAATTATTGTATAAACAATTTATTTTGCTAATTACATTGTATGAAATGATTCATCGTACAATTTAGTGTTTTATGCAATTGATAGTAAAGAATTATATTAATATTAATCGAAAACTGTTTCCTTGTTAACATTCAAAAAAATAAAAATATCCATATCGCAGTCCTCTCTCCTTTCTCCTTCCTCATGTTATTCCAGAGGTGGGATAAAGGCCATTAACCATGAACATACTGAACGGTCAAGGCTCAGTGCATAATAATGCAAAAATAATGATAGCGCGATATGTCGGTTAATTCATTAAATAATTCACCAATTACAACGGGCTAGCGCATCAATAGGGATGAAGCGCAGCCAGACCCAATCTCGGCGGTTCGGCATAGCTGTGACGATATCTACCGGATGTTGGGATCATTTCCAACGGCGGTCTGGCACTTTCACGATCAAGTCCAGGATATCTTTCATGCTCCGACAATTCCTGGTAGGTCGAGCTTCTCGTTCGCAACTTGTCGCGTAATTCTCGTGGGTGCTGTGCACGTTCTCGAAATTCTCGCATCTGTTTAAAAGATATAAAAGTCGTTATAATTTTAAACTTATTTTTATTATGTTTAATGTTTACATTAGATTTAGTGCTAAATTCAATTTAAAAACGCTCTTACATCTCTCTGATCTACGAGAGTCCTCTGATCTCTGAAATCTCTGCCGATCGACAAATTCTCGTAGAAGCTTCTTGGTCGCGGTCTCGAAATCTCTGGCTCGGGTGGATGTTCAATCGTATAATGATGAGTCCTGGGTCGTGGTCTACCCTTATAAGATATGGCATTTTCACGATCAAGCACATCCGGTTGACTTCGTCTGACTGCATGTTCATGCGAGGACATGGAGTTTAAGCTTGCAGAATATTGACGGCCGGATCGATCCTCGTGAACCTGTCTAGCCGACTGGACTCTATTAAATAACAATATTGAATAAATTTTTACATTCAACAAATCCTTTAATCAATTGACAACGAATAATAATAAAAAAGTTAACACAAAGTCTGAATGATTCTAGTTCAAAATATGATTGATTTATACGTTCATTAACCTGAAAGTCACCTAATTTTATTTTTATCTAAACAATTATCTAAGTTATTTTTTTACTTTAATTAAAATCTATTACTAACAATATATTATATGTTATTGATTATTTCCCAATTTATTAGTATTTGAAAATATTATGGATGTAGATTTAATCACAATTTTCTGAAAAAGTAAGTTGAAATTAAACAAATATTAAAAGAAATATATAAACACGTTAAATAGCTTATTATTTCTTAGTATTTCTAAAAAAATAAAAATTTTAATTAATATTTTCCTGCAAAAGATGAAATTGCATATTTAAAAGTTCGAATAATTATTAAAAACTATGAATGTGTTGAAAAATATTTTATAATAATTCACATTTTTTCGCTGTTGAAATATAAACACTCTAGATGGTTATTCCCGAATTACAACTAATAACTAATATATAATCGTACATATATTCCACGGAAAATTTTTCTTTCTATAAAATCATTCAAATTCCAAGAGACATTTTCTACAAAAAATTTAGGAATGTGGACATACAGGATATCAACGCTCTACTCTCTCTAATTGCAATTTCTACAAACATTTTCACAAACATATCAAGATTTATATCTTTACAAATCTCTCTTGTGAGAACGCGTTTAGTGAAAATGTTTGATACTTGAAACCCGTTCGAGGAAAGCTGGATAGAACCGTATATGTACAAAATGAAACATACGACGATTGATATCACTTTTATTGATATCTCTGGATTAATAATCTTGATGCTGTTACTGCATTTTACTCACGCATTTCACAAACTACAGAGTACTACATTCGTTTGTATTTAAATACAAACAAAATCATGAAATACATTTCTTATTAGTAGAAGATAAATTTTTCTGATTTTGATTTTATTTGTAAATTTCATTATTTAATTTGACATCATTCTTAACCCTCTGCGAACCAGATGGAAAATCAATGTGAATATATCTCATGCGCCATACTGTACTTCATCATAAATATATTATAATTTAATATGATTGGTAACAACGTATTCTCTAGCTGCACGAAACCAGCCAATCAACATAGGCGCGGTACTTTTTAAAAAGTTATAGAAATTCATCTTATTGGAGTATGTCACACCCCATCTAATTCGCGGAGAGTTAAAGCACACCTGTGTATAGGATGATGCTCGATGTCTCTCTGTCTGGAGAGAATAGGCCTGGCAATGGCTTCCCTTTCCATCGCCCTAAACATTTCTTTAGCATCTTGGAACCTCTCTCTGGGACTGGTCACCTCGCCGGGATTCACCCTGGGCTGATATTGAGGACTTGGTGATCGCTGTCTAAATTCCGCCGCTCGTCGATTCCTATTGCAACTTGGTGAAACTCCCCTATTTGCTTGATTGGGTAATCTTTCTGGGCTTCGCGGCAGTCGCGGCAATGTCAGACTTGCAGCTGTCTCCACTTCTGGTAAATAGTCATTGTCCTCGTTTGGCACGCCCCAATCGTCATCTGCAAACGATTAACATGTAATTATAGTTAACACATTAACATATAATTATAGTTATTGCTTATAATTTCACTTCATTTATATTATATATATTGTACATTGAATATATTTTTCATTTTTGACTTATCGCAGTTCTTGTAGTAATTATAGATAATCTTAATTATAAAAACGAATAACTTTATCTCTCTCTCTCTCTCTCTCTCTCTCTCTCTCTCTCTCTCTATATATATATA